TGTTGCATATCATTCGACTCGGCTGTTCAAGAGGAACATAATGATGCCATTTTGAAAGCTTTATCTTTCTTGTGTGACAAGTTATTGGCACAAACGTCATTTGACCTCAGTTGACCTCATTTGACCTGATCCATGGATAAGTACACCAACCAAAGAAGCACCAAGTGACATAATGTTAAGTACTGTTGTTTCAAAGCACCAAAGTGATAGAACGAAGCGGATATCGCCAGTATTTTCCGAATTGAATATTTTCCTATAGGCTTAACATTACGACGTAATGACCTCTAACTGACCTCAGGTCAGTGACATGACAAAAACCGAACTATATGTTATACAACTCGGTGAACTTAGGACATCCTGAAAGTTTGAAGGAAATCAGTCCAAAACTGTGAGTTGGACAGGTGCACAAAGAAAATTGAAATTTGACCATGACCTTGTACCGGTTTTTCTGACCTGGTGACCTGACCTGAAAGGGCAGAGACCTGAAATTTTCAGGGAAGGTGCCAAAAGGTTGCCCCAGAGGGTATGCCAAATTTGGCGGCGCTACGCGCCGCCGTTTTTACGTTATTTGCGAAAAACCTTAGGGAGGGGGTTGCATCAACCCCCCCCCCTCGCCGGGCGAGTGATAAGATAAATGTTTAAAGGTTTTTTTGCCATGTTAGTTTTTTCATCCTAGTGTGTTATTTGACATTACGGCTATGTCAGAAAAAGTTCAGTTCAATACTCGTAAATGGTGATGATTATATCGGAATTGTCGCTAGAAAATATCGCGATGACTTTCTTTGTGTTTTCTAATGTCTTGGACACTCATGCTCAGTTAGGTATGGTTTATTATAATTCATAACTACGAAAAATACATTTAAAATGTGAGGCTATAATGAGAAGCTACCCAATCCTTAAAAGACTCTCCAAATCGATTCTTGATTCATAAAAAATCATCAAATTCCACCCCACCCCTAAACGCCCCCGCCTGGTCACCCGGCCCCAGCCTCGCAGCGTAGCCAATCAGCTGGCGTGTGTCAAGGTCACGAGTGGTGTCGTCATCATAGCCTGAGGGCACTGGCCGTCCCTGCGGCCGGCGGCTGACCCATTCAAGAAGGCTGACCCGAGAGCGGGTTTCGACTTCACAAGTCACAACAATGCATGGGGCGGATTGGTGTTGCCGAACAATGAATGCTGCATACATACCTATTGTCAGTGGCAGAAGACATTAGACATGACATATTTCAGATAGGGGCTGACACTTTCTTCTTCCCTTCTTATTTAGGTGTCATTCTTAGAATATTTTCACCCAATTTTGTACAGCGAGTGTCAATAACCATTTTTTACATTTACTTATTGCTCACCCCTTGCCTCTGCTGGTCATATGACCATTCCTTACACCGTGCCCCAGCTGTTGCCGTAGTCACGTGACCTCTTTCCCAACCCGTGGCACCAGCTGCCGCTCTTATTACAGCTGATGGATGCCCATATTAACATAACGACTGAGGAAGAAAAACAAGAGTTGCTTATTATTAGCTGCATTGCGGGAACGGCCATGGCAGCTCAGAAAAAAGCGACTCATCTAGGTAACTGCTGCGGAAGGGTTCGGGATAGATGAACAGCTATAATAATTACGAGCGAGCGTAGCGAGCGAAGTCTGACGTAGAATAGCAAAACTTTCTGAGCATGCCGGTCCACTGATTTTCAAAATCAGTGAACTAGGATCCTATATCAATTTTCCCATACGATGCAATGAACGCGTGTCTGAACCAACATCACACGTGAGCTCAGCTTCTATCATTATTACCTCCACTCCAGTAAACCCAATGCGTACAGCACGATCAATCAATTTGACACTAATGCTTTCACACCTCTACGTCGGATAATTGTGAGGAAATTGGCACCTCTAATGATATCCGGTCTATGCTCCGTAGCCATCCTTCCTCTTGGGGTCAAATAGCCGTGGGTCGTGGGATCATGTGCCTAGTTGAGCGGCAGGGAAAGGTTGGCTGAGCGTAAGTCTGTCGGCGTGTGATTAGAATTGAGGTTATTTTGGGAA